GTAACAATGTAACTAGAGATGATCTGAAGATTAACATTTTATTTGTATAATTATCATTTTGTTGATAGTCAAGTTCACTACTATTTTATCCGCATGGTTTGGTCCAATTTATATATATTATTGTATTTGTTATATCTGAATCAATGATTTAAGTATTATTATATTTTTTTTTATTTTTATTTTTTGTATACACTCTTTGCGTTTGCTGTTTAGAACAACATTTATAATAATTCCCTAAATTCTGTTCATATATTTTTACTTTCACTCTAATTTTACGAAAAATAATTACATTTATTTTTGCATTTTTGTGAACTCGTTTGATAACATGGGTGGCGGGCCCCCTCTTTTTAGCAAAAAATATATAATATCTATGGAGATGTTTTTTCTGATCGGAAAAATACAAGAAAAGAAAGAAGGAAGGAAGATAGGGAGGGGAAAGAGAGTGTTTATCCAGTCCCCGACCGAGTTAGATTTTCTCGCAATTCATATTGGCGGATCTGGAGGATCATGGGTCCTTGCCCCCTCTTTTGGGCAAAAAAAAAATTCTAGACCCTACTTTTCAGGACCCGTTAGCTGATTTTTAAGCAATTATTGTAATACACTAATATACAGTCTTTTATTGGCTGTCTGTTTTCAATTTTTTATTTATATTTTTATCTTAATAAATAATAAAGTCCTTGAATACCAAATTAGAAGTCGGGAAAGCTCATTTCCCGCCATTTTATTTTTTTGGGTATTTTTTTTTGTATGATATTAATAACTAGGCTTAGGCTTCAATTATACATTCATTGGTGCTCTGCCACATTTTGGCAGGTCTTATGGCATCCAGTATTTCAGAGCTGCCTCTTCTCAGCTCTTCTCTTAATTTGAAAATAACTGTCACCCTGTTGTTAAATATCGGTTAGTTGTTGTCGACTTTTTAATGAGTAGTATAACACAGTTCCGTTTAGTACACTGCAAACTTTTATTCACACAAACTGTACGTTCATGGTTACAATCACCTAAACTCCAGGTTTCAGATGTTAGAGAACCCTTTTTGAGTGGAGTCAGCTCAGCTCTGTACTTTTCTTCTGTGTACTCCTAACTACTAAATTGAATCTAACTACTCACTACTGACTCAGTGATATGTGGGTGTTTGCCTATTATACTTTAGGTAATGGGGGTGTGTCTCAAGTAAGTCACCCCATACTTTTAGAGTTTCTGATTGGATCATAGAGAAAAAAACTGCTAATTAAGATGTATCACAAACTTCTAATTAAGATGTATCACAAACTTCAGAGCTTAGGCTCAAAACTGACAATCATAGATTCATAGTGTGAGAAAGGCCAAGTCCAACTGACTAGGGTAAAGTTATACAATGCCCAGTTATGTTATTAGATAATCTGTATACTCAAGTTGACTATTAAATCTGTCAAACCGATTTAAGGCATTTATCAGGTGAATGGTATCAAGTCCAATGGTTATGCAAGTTAATACTATTGAACCTTAATACTACATTACATTCCTTTTAATTATTATTACTTTTTTTAACATCATAACATAAAGGTAAAATGTACTACAATGTGAAATAGGCATAAAGCAATATAACAATTCATTAAAAAAAAAATTAAATCGTTAAACATAAAAAATCATAGCATATAATACAAGTGGTGCAAGATGAATACGTATCAACTTCCATAAGCGTATATTTTTGTAGTTAGGCCTGGTAATTATGCAAAACCCAAACCTAACTAAAAAATAAAAATTGCCACAGTATGTAATTCAAGTTAAAATAACACTTTTTATTACTCGTGCAGCTCAATCAAATATTATATGTCATTTTAGACAACCCATTAGTAGGCCTATTAGCATGGTAACATCAATGTATTTTTAAAAAATTAGACAGCGACGTTCTCTCAGATCAGAAGTTGTTGATGACCTTTTGACCTGAATTCTGCAATATGAGATTTTCGGGTCGATTCAGTCGTGACGGCCCGAGTGGAGTTTTATGTAAATGTTTCGTACGGAAAAAAAATCGCTTCCCGCCATCTAGGAATCAGAAATTTTCCCGGGGGAGAGCCCCCAACCCTCCTTTCTTTTTAGGATTTGTCGATTCATGGAAAAAAGGATATGTAGGCTAGGCAACTACTTAACTTTGTGTATGTATGTATACACACATAAAATAAGAATGAGAAAAATTTACCTGACAGTTTCCAAGAAATGAAAACATTGAATTTTGAAGAACTTAAAAATCTAAAAGACATTTCGTAAGTGGGGAGAGATCATTTCTAGTCATCTACAAATCAAAATTTTTCCGGGGAGGACCCGAACCTACCTTTCTCTTTGGGTTCATTGATTCATGGAATCGTTTTTAAGAGGAGGAATCATTGAATTTTGAAGAATTCAAAAGTCATTAAAAGACACCTCAGAAGTCGGGAAATCTCATTTCCCGCCATCTAGGAATCAAAAGTTTTCCCGGGAGAGAGCCACCGGACCCTCCTTTCTTTTTGGAGTTTATCGATTCATGGGAAAAAGAACATGTATGCAACTACTCTTTTATTTGTATGTATACACACATAACAGGCCTATTTACTGTATTAAGAATGAGAAATTTTTTCCTAACCGTTTTCAAGAGGTTGAAAACCTTGAATTTTGTCATTAAAAGACACCTATAGCTCAAAGTCGGGAAAGCTCATTTCTCGCCACCTAGGAATAAAACTTTTCCTGGGGGTGGGGGGACCACGGGTCCCTCTTTCTTTTTGAATTTCTTAAAAAATTGTGCTCCTACCCGCTAAATATGAACCTATGCATATTCCCATTCATCTTACTAGTGTGTTCTCCCCCTCCCCCACCCACCACTTTGAAAAACGTTCCACCGGCCCTGCATAAATTGTAATTTATTTTGTGACATCTTTTGCTTTAAGTTCATTAACCTTACGCATCATTTCGTCCATGAGCCAGGGTGTAGTTGTTTTACGCACCCTACTTTTTACTTTTTTTTTTTTTTTTTTTTTTTGGGGGGGGGGGGGGCGTGCTTGTTTGTACCAATATTATTTATACTATTGGACACAAGATTTGACTTATTACGCCCGGATAGAATTTGAACTACTGGAAAGTATGTTAGTCTCCCTACAGCCATAATCGGATTATCAGTATGCATAATGTGTTTGTGTTATGTATTAAGAGTCATGAGACCAATAAGTTGTTATTACTAATAAAAACTCCCTGCTCACCAAACTTCCTCATTGGATATGTAAGACGCAGTCACAATACACAAACAAGATGACGTTACAAATACTGTTGTTGCTTACAGTAGCATGTTTCACGTTCAAAGGTATGATTTTCTTCTAAAAATATTTCAGTATTTTCCATAGGCCTATATTTTCTGGTTACGTTGCTTTGAAAGTGTGAGTTGTATCCCGATAGTAGGATAAAACACAATAAACTTATAATTAATGTGCTTTTTAAATGTACTGTAATTTACAACGTTTAATACAGTAAAACAACTATGGTGCAATTTTAGGACTAACAAATCACCACTGAAATAGGTTGCCCAATAAAACATTAACTGAAAATGATTAAAAAAAATGTCATCATAATAAGTTTTCACGCATACAGTCATAAACACGTTATATTTTCATTGCGTATTTTTTGGGCTCACTACGGACTCTAAACGTATGCATTTTCTTTTAGTTTTAAGGCGTATGCGGATTTTATAAGTCCGCAATGACGATATAACGTGTTCATACTACTTGTACACTTTGTCAACTATGGTGCAATTTTAGGACTAACAAATCACCACTGAAATAGGTTGCCCAATAAAACATTAACTGAAAATGATTAAAAAAAATGTCATCATAATAAGTTTTCACGCATACAGTCATACTACTTGTACACTTTGTCAGCTAAGAATGGATTACAATATAAAAACTAATCGGTACACAAAATAAACATTAATATATTAATAAATCAGTGGAACTTGTCTTAAGTCTGCTTTGTTATTCTAATGAATATCATTTAATTATTATATTTTCATATTCTACAATATTAAACATTTTTACTTAAATGAAGGATATAACATGAATTGAGTAATAACTTAATTAGGGTACATGCTATGTTACAGGTTGTGGATTGAATTACATTACATTATGAGAGTACGTTTTTATACAGAGAAAAGAAAAAAAAATAAATCCAACGTAGAAGCAAAAACCTATACGATTAGTTTATACATAGAATGCCAACAAATTTACATTGAATATAAAACAACCATTTGAATGAAATATTATTAGTTTAAGTGTATTATGTATATTGTTAAGAATTAACAAAAATATTACTGTTCACTTTATTCTGTTTTTATTAGGAATTGAATGTTGAATGTGTTTAGAATTGACGATTTTTTCATACTATAAAGATGTCACATTGGGCCTAATAGAGGTGTCCTCTTAACAAGGGTTGACTGCAGTGTTAATATTAACTTAGGGGATCGTAATCGGCACCCATCAGGCTCTTAAAGTTAAATCAATTGATGTGACGATTTCTGGAATAATTATCAAAAGTGTCACTCTGCACAAACATCTTGGTGTTTATGCAGAAATAACTTTTATTTAATCTCTAGTTATAAAATATTTACAGCACAATTAGCGCACCTGTTGCCGCATTTGGCCTTTCAGAAACCTACCGTGTAAACTCTGAGCCGCTGTGCCAAAAAATATTTAGTTTACACATGTGCTAGATTTTTTTTGCGCCGTAAATGCCATTGAGTTAGTGAAAATCAACGTAATCATCTGAA